TGATTTCATTATTAATGCAATTCACGCGACAGGTTCGGGTATTTTTAATTTTGTTATTGCTTTCGTATAAATACGATATGTAAAGAATTTTCGAATTCAAATTTGTTGTCTGGCAACGTAGACTTCAGATGAGTGTATTTGACAGTGCAGTAGTGGAATATATTTGTGGGTATGTGTTTCTCACAATGCTATTTCTAATCATAATTATTAAAAATTTTTGATTTGTATATGCTAAGTCCCTACAGGCTTTAAGTTCTGTTTTCTTTATAGAACCCGAAAAGGTAATTACATTTCTGTGTGCCCAAAGCATGCAACATTTGTGCTGCAACATTTTCGAAAGACAGCATGTTGCTAGTGTGGATTCAAACTGTGTGGGTGTAGAAATATCAAAAAATGTGTGAAATTTGTTCGATCAAATAACTCAGGCAATGCACGTTTTGGCCCAACTTTTATTTCTACTATTTCTTGTCGTGTGTTGTGTTGGCTGAATAACAAATTATCGGAGCTAATTTACATAGCCGTTTCCAGGCAGCGCTACCAAACAAAGTTCAATTGGTCAAGTACTAAGATGCCCATTCACTCACCCATTATAACAGTCATGTCGCAAGCTAGTAATTTCTCTACAATGCGCAGGCCAATGCCGCGATTGCCACCCGTAATGACAGCAATGCGATCCGGTTGTTTATAAAGTGCTGCAAGCGAAAACAATAATCAGATAAAAATGTTGTTAATTGATAGTAACTGTAGGAGCAGATTTAGATAATTGTAGATGTACATACCCACACGATCCCTGGAGGCGTATTGTGCATCATGTATGAGTCCAACAATGCCCAGATATTGATAGCGGAACTCAGTCTTCCATTCGAACCAGGACTTGGGTATGCCTTTGGTTGTCTTCGTGAAAATAAAGCCGCACAGCAGCGTCAAAATGATAAGCAGCCAGAGCAACATGTTGCACAAATCAATTATGTGTGTTCTGTCTGTGGAAGATAAGGAATCAATGTTGCTGAGTCAAATAGTATACGTAAGCGGGCGGGGGGCAAAGATCGACATGTTGGCTCTGATAAGCCCAATTCACTCTATAAATATTCACATAGATATCATAAATATGTATATTTCTAGATATGCATACATACATATATAGAAAAATGTCTATGAGCAGCAATTATTTGCTTGCAGCTGTGCTCGTTGTCCGCAACTTGAGTCAGCAACAAATATTATTTTTTTTTTCCCACTATTTTTGCTTCTCGATCCGCCTGTGCCCATTTACAGCCATTTTAAGTGTACTATATATATTATAGATTTATTTATTTAGTTAAGTACTGCACTTTGGATTCGGTTTGTGTTTTTTTTTTGTTTTTTGTTTTTTTTTTGTTTTGCTCACATCGTTGCCAATTAGTGTTGAATTTAATTGCTTAAGGTTGACTGCAGAGAGCTTCGCGGCTATTTAAAATAATCATTTTATTATGAATATCAGCTAGAGCCATGAAATTATGGCCCAGTTAGCAGTTGGTTTTCTAAAAAACAACAACGACAGCGACAGCGGCACATAAAATGCAAATTAAAGAAAGAGAGTCAAAAGCAAAGGAATGAAAGTTGAAGAGCCAAAGAATGGGCCAATAGCTTCGAATGAAAAAGACGAAAAAAACATAGACTCATAGTAGAAAAGCAAACATATGAAAAAAAATAAAATAATAGAAAAAAACGTTACTCTGATGGGTAGCTACAGAGGTGCGAAGAGAGCTACCAAA